TTATGCAAAAATTACGATGATTTTCGGCATTAAGCACACGAGGTAGGTGTGAAGAAACAACCGTTCGTGCAATTAACCTAATTTAAGTTTTGTGCAAAAACGCATGATCGCTCCGGCTCGCCTAGTGCGTTCCAGCCTACGTAATTATTCAGCTAAGCATCTAGCAAATTCTCTGCTGCCACGGTTGCTTTGACCAGCACTGCATCGTTTGAGGTCAGCGTGATGGCGATTCTGACGTTCGTTTCGTCTCCTCTCGCAATTTCTAGTTTTTGCAAGGAGAGTTCGGTCTGTGTATACAGCTGAGGGATGAAAAGTCTTCGTTTCATATGAAATTTAAGTGGAATCCTTTTATTGTTCTATTTGTAACGGTTGCTTTTGCATCCTCCATTGCAGTGAGTGCCTGGACTGCTTCTTCAGAAGCTGTGATGACATCCGCCAAGAGGACAGTGTTTTGAGGGCGCTTTTTTGCATGTTTTGCCTGTTGTTCGGGGAAATTACAGATTGTTTTCAGGATTACACACTTATCCACTAAGATGTTGGGTTTCGGCCGCAGCCGCTGCAAAACAGTCAGCGAGCGATGTAGAATTTGCACGTAGGTTCGTAACGTGCCGTATTGTTCCTTATTGTTGTTCCATTAATTTGAGAATTTTTAAACTGCAAAAATCCATTTTTTTTTATAAAAAATAAAAAATCGCAGGGAAGATAATGCTTAATTTTCAGGTATTTTATCGAAGACGGGTGTCCCTCTGCCGACGACAATTCCTTACTGTCATCTTTAGAGCAGGTGAATTTCTTTCTCTGCTTGATGCTTAGCCCGTTGACCACTGTTTCTTCATCAAATCTCTTCACTAATGTTTTTGAATACTTTCAGTGACCTTGTTCTTCACGCTGATTCCATGAAAGACTTTTTAGTAGCACTTTTGATTCGGTAGCTTTACCGCAAAACAATTTACTCTATTGAGTTTTCTATTCTCGAATTATGGTTTTTCCATAAGCGCTTGTTCATTTTCGGCCTGCTTCTTTTCACTGGCGTGGAAATTGCAGAAAACGGGTCCAGGTCGATATGCAGAATGGACCAAATTAACGGTGCCAATTACGCGTAACCTTGTTAGCACTTCACTACTCAATGGGTATGCTTTTGTGCGATTTCTTCCGTCTTAAAATGCCTTCAAAATTCCTCTTATGTCTGCTGACCAATGTAGCGCAGTGGTAAGATAACGTTGCTGAAGATCTAGGATTCGATTCCACCGGTGAAACAGTCTTTCCGTCCATGATTCATTCACCCGTTCGATGGCAAATTGGGCTGATGCAGATCGGAGGGAGAACTTACAAAAATGACATTACCTCAAATTGAACCGATCAAGCACGCTGCGTTTTGCCGTGTTATCAGTTGTCCGACTTAATTCTGTTTCATGAAAAGTTGAGTATTTTGCCACATGAAAATTCAGTCAGTTGTTCCGATTTTGCCGATCATTTGATTTTTTTTTTTACTAAAATTTACGGATTGCGAACAGCTTTAGGAGAGTTAATCAATTCTGGGTTTGCATGCCAATTTCTGTAATTGTATTATTGAATGGAGGCTTGTGAATTTAAAGTAGCAGCATCCTTTCCGGTTTTTTCGAGGATTGCTGTCGTAGATTACTTGCTTAGATAATGCATAAGTTACCGCGCTTAGCTCAGGCCAACGGTGTTGCAACCACGGTGGGTTCACTAAAAGAAGTCAGAATTTCCTAAATTATAGTATATTTCCTGGAAGATTTACTTACTGACAAATAACGCTTTTTCTTTTTTTCAGGTCAGTAGTAAGTGATGAATCAGTTGAATACGGGCGCATTTCGCTTCACTGCGACGTGATTTTTTGTACGGGTCAAAAACTTAACGGCTTTCAAAGCACGCCTACGGTACACTTCCATTTTTTTCCAAAATTCTCAAAAAAGTGAGAAAGGTAATTCTCAAAAGTACCCACCGTGTTCGCTCTCAGTGAGAGGCAGAAGCACTTAGCCCTAGTATAGCAAATACCAACAGCAACCACTTGGATAAGGATGTCGATGCCGACAAAGCATTATTTTCACGTATTAAGATATCTGGAGTACCTGGGACAATCGATTCTCCATCCATGCAGCTGGCAACTTTTCCATTTGCTTTGATCAATGCCACATCTCTTTGGAGTCATCCTGCTGCAGTCCTAACGCTTGTTTCTTTGGGTGGGCGAGTAATACCAGCTCAACGATTCTCGTAACAAAGGCGGTGCTTGCGAGAAGAAAACAAACAACCTCTCGAGTGGTTCCCGACTGGGTGGCGCATATACATCGAACAGGTGGTGGATACCAGCGGGAGCTATGCAGCTTAGCATCAAAGGGCCTGTACCTGGCGTCTATAAGTATTCCAATAAATCACTAGCACGAATGGCCCATGCTGATAGTCAGGGCGAACTTGGCGTCAAGATACGCACGCTAGCAGAGGGCATGATTTTCTTGTCTTGCAAAGTGCAAGAAAAATCATGCCTTTTTGACATTCATTATGATTGTGAAAAATAGAAGGTCTGCACTTTGCGCCTTTTTGCCTGGCACAGACTTGGCCCGAATTAGCTGAAGCCATGATGTTTATTGCATTCCTAATTCCGGATTAACTCTTTTTTTGCCGTTAGCACCACACATGAAGTTGTGTGTGTGTATGTGTGTGTGTGTGGTGTGTGTGTAGAGCAGTGGCAGCTGATGTCGTAAGCCGGCTGTGCTAGGCACTTCGGCACCCCTTTGTACTCTCCGGAGGAAGCAGAATCTCGGCTTACGTCAATTGCTTATTGCTTGCAAGGAAAGTGTCCGTTGCTTGAATATATAGCATAGCAGACATCGGTGACGGTCCGTCGAGTCATTTGACATTTCGAGGAGACGGACGAGTGAGAGCCATAATTTGATCACCAATCAGTGGTGCGGAAACGATGGTGCGATGTCGTGAAGAGGAGGGATATGAGTAAATGAAATATAAACAAGCGGAATGTCTGGCACTGGAAAATTTGACCGGAACCAAGCAACGTCTTGAAGAACAAGCATCTGGGGAATGTGAAATTTTACACTCATCCGACTGGGACCACCCGGTCAGTTACTGTGTGTATCACATGTTAGAATATTACTGGAACGTTCCAGCACGCCATACAAATTCATCTCAATCCCTTCGGTTGGTACTTACCGTCTGTTCGATGTACGTGTGCAGCAGTTCTTCGAAGGCAGTCCCAGTGATTGTTTGCTTCTCGCGAGCATCATTTGCTTGCGATCTCTTCCAGTTGTCGATATATCGAGCAGTAGTATCCTGCCCATCGGATTTTACTTTCTTCCTTGAACGCAGTGACATTCTACAATATACATCACTCATCGGACGGAAGCTTGATTGCTTATGTTAGCCACGAAGAAGCACGCCAGCTGTCCATCTCTCCATCGCTTTTCCCTACAATAAACCAGCGTTTACTCGTTGATTTTCATCCACTAGTCACGTTTCGCATCCGTGCGTCATTGCCTTCGTCACAGTGGTGTTGACGTTTCTGATGTTGAATGAGATCAGGGGAGGTAAGCACAGAAAAAATTTTGAAAATTTCGATTTTTTTGGGAAAGGGAACGAGAGGGGAGGGAAGCTCTTTTTTGCTGCTCGTGACGCATCTTCTAGCTTATAAATACTAGAAAAATGCTAAGTTCGTTTTGGTGATAAATGATTCCTTGTTAAATAAACTATAAGGCAATTCGCTGCTTCCTCGTATATGGGTTGCATCCAAGCACATTTTCTTCGAAAAGAGGTAGAAACTACCGAAAATAATTATACCCGTTGCTGTCGTTTTGAAAAATTTATTCCCAGTGTTGACCGCAATGATTCATACAAAAATATGACCTCCAAAACCTGCTGAAAAAAGCATACGATTTTTAAAATTATTGGTTTTGATGGATCTCAACCAAGACTACCGAGGTCGCCTGGACAGGTGGCATGTTACTGGAATGCCTTCTTGCGCTGTGCCAGACCTTTCGATCCTGGGCTGCATATCTCCGGTTGTAATTACACTGAATGAAACTGAAATGTTACGCTTGAACGATTATCATCACTGAGATCGTGGCATTGGATAGTGACCTGCTTGCAAACGGAGGAGGACTTGCATCTGTAGAGGAGTTACTGGAAGATTCAAAAATCGTTTCATCGAGTGCTGCATTCATTGCGCTTCATTGCATTTTTAATGACAGCGCAAATTTTTCCAGTTCTCGCCTTTTTCCCAATCTTTGCATGCGGCAGCACACATCGAAATTCTCCAAAAAAGCGTTTAAATGCTCCGAAAAGTGCTTATCAGCTTGAAATCGGAGAACTGAATTTTGATGTGATATGTAAATGAGGAAGTGACCCATATACATCGAACAGGCAATAGTAACCGGAGATGTGCAGTTTCGGATCGAAATTCTCTGGCATATCTGCGCTGGATTAGCATCCGAAGTAGCATCACCAGCTTGGATGAGCCACACTGATCTAACCTGGGCAGTCTTAGCATTCCATTCTTGGTACATAAGTGAGAGGCGGCATGCCCAGGTGGCGCATTCGAACTGCCAATTATGCAAATTGGGACTAAAAAGCTTACTATTGTGATGTCCAACGTTTAGATGCATTTAAAATTCGGGCAGTACATTGATAATACAGTGCCGAAAGTTTCCAAGGATTTTCTTTGATTCCCATGGTACACAGTTGACAACTTTTCCGCTTGCTTTAACCGATGTTGCATTGTCCACTGTACAGTCTTCACTTTCGTTGCGTTCCCTGAAGGCATTTTTAGCTTAACGGTGTGGCTCTCCCGAGAGAAGCATCTAGCAGGGCTTTAGCCGTTCCGAAATGTTCTTGGTGTTTGTTGTGAGCATCATCGCCTCATCACCTTGCTTGGCTGCGGTGATGCAAGTATTTCACCGACTAGAAGTCTTTTTTCAAAATCAGCTAATTCACTGCAGTTCAGCTGGGCGATGTTCCTAACAAATTACTTCCGGCTTTTGGCTATGCCTCGAATGATATTGAGAGCCCTGGTTGATTATTCGGGCGATCTTAGAATTCTGAAGGATCAGTAGCCATTGTGATGATGATGTTGTACAACCGTGTTATTGCAGTGTCCACGAGCATCATTTTGTTCGCCGGCTGCTGCGGAGGGTCGACGTTGGCCAGCATGGCTCGAGCCTTATCTTCAGCATGCGGTGACCGTCACACTAGGCAATCCGATCCGAATTCTATTAGCGAACGCTAGCGAGCCATCGTTGGACAACGATGATACGTCAGTTTCGGATGAAATGGTCGCTGAAAGCGACGATAAACCTATCAGTGCTGCATACGGTCAGTATTGTCTCTAGCTTATCTCACTAACAGTGGGCCATGATGGCGTTGAATCCCATTTTCACGCCACCTCCCTTGGAGTGCTTTTTTTTTGCGGTAAAAGAATGAAATCATAAGGTACAATTGAACCCTGTACTTACAATGTTGCCTAAGACTGATGATTTAGCCCCGTTCTGCCGCTTCCCACCGATGCTGATAAGTAGGATCGAGAAGTCCTGGCAGTGAGACCCGGCTTTTCCTGCTTCCATCTACAGCTGTATTTTAGTTGTTTTTAATTAAATACATAAAACGACTACCAAAAAAAAAAAAATGGCCAACGCACGGGCTGCCCGTGCGAAGATGCGTTTTTTGCAGAGTTCCCCG